CGCCTTTGCCATGTAAGAAGACGTTTCACCACTGGAGGGAACTATTGGACTTCAGTGCCAGCAAGGGGAAGCAGCAGCTGCGTTTCAAATGTCGGTGCTTGTTCCGCCCCAGAAAAGTCTGCTGAAATCACTGCAAATGATAGATTGCGTTAATTAATACAACGTGAAGATAACAGAGAAACATCGAAGCTTTTATGTCAATAAGTGACAGTCAATAAGTGTTGAATATATGATATATGTTATTTATAATAAAATGAGAGAACAAGAAGCTTGCTGCTCTTGGAAAGATTTAGAGGCAATTTTACTGAATTCTGTACAAACATTGAACTACTTAAATTAAAAAGCTACTGAAAAAGGTAGAAAGAACTCATATGATTTCTAACAGGAGAAATCCCTGTTCAACACAGAGCATTGTCATTTGCTCGTTATTGCAGCAACCATTTTCAACAAGAATTATATTTATTGACTTGGTAAAGCTGTCTCTTCTGTTTGCTTTCACAGAAACATAGAATGGTTTGGCTTATAATGGATTTTTAAAGGCCATCTAGTCCAAAACCCCTGGGATAAGCCGGGATATCTTCAATGAGATCCAGTTGCTTTAAGCCCAGCCCAACCTGACCCTAAAAGATTTCAGGGATGGGGCATCCACCACCTCTATAGGCAACCTGTGCAAGTGCCTCACCACACTTTTAAGGCAGTTCCTCAAAAAGCCACTGCCCCCACATGACCCAAAGCTACATGCTACAGTTGCATTTTAACAAAGGATCTAATAATTACTTTGGAAACGATATATTCATGCATTTCAGAAAATCTGCTAAGAGTTCTGAAATTTGTTTTTTTCCCCACCCTCATCAGCATGATGTACCATCAATGCATGATGTGGCCATGATTCTTCTCTGAAGCATCGTGTAAGAACTATGGTAGAATATTGTGCACTATTTACAGTCACACTCATGCACAAGTTCTGCAAGTGACTCTCCTGAGGGACAAAGCAAACTGTTAGAGAGGCAAAGCAGCAGAGCACTGGGCGTCTACCCGCAACCCTCCTTCCCTCCTCTGTTGTTGTGTTTTTATGTTGTTTATCTGGTGCTGCCTTGGTGAGAGCAGTGGCTTTAACAGGTATGTCTGCATTATCTGACACATTTCCTCTGCTTCCATCACCTGAGGTTGTTGAGTCACATTAAAGAGTTTCCTGTGGAGCACTGGCTTAGAGCATGGGGAAATACCTCCCTTTATCATACAGCACTACACTTGCTGCAAGTCATGAGTGATTCAACAGCTGTATATTTTCCCTGTCAAGTGTGGAATTCCCCCAGTATTGTCCTATTCATTGACACTATCTTGTTGGAATAAATCCAGCTTCCTGTGCTTTAAAGTTTTCCTAGGTGGTGGGTAGGACTCGTTGGTTGGCAAGTTTTCCCATGCTTAGCTATTTACATGCCCACTGCTCATTGCTGATTTGCTGTTTAGAGTGGGCAGTGGCTCTTCTTCCCATTCTCTGCGGAGCACTGAAGCCTGAAATTCTTCCCTTAGCCCCACAACCATCCTCAAAAATGACTGATATGGGTTTGGCAGCACAATTTGGTTCCAACAGGAGCTGAGAGAGCTTCATGTAATAAGAATACAAAGTTCATTCACTAAGTTATTTCCCAAAAATAATAAACCTTTTTCCTATTGTCTCTGCTTGCTTGCTAAGGGGAGAAAAATGCTCTGAAATCAAACTGCTACTGTTTAATGTTGTACCAAGAAAATTATGCCTCAGGAGGTTGCCAGGATTTGTTGAAACTAGACATTGTTATAAAAAGCTACATAATTTCTTTTTTTTCGTTTGTTGTACAGAATAGTTTAGAAAAGGTAGTAATTTTTATTTCCTTGTTTCAGCTGACTTTTTTTCTCCACATGAGGTTTTCTCCCAATTAACTGTAATTCCCTAGTAAAATGTTTATACCTTTCTTATATTTATTTTCTCAATGTTAAATTTGAGATGTTGCACCTGGGAAAATATGTAAGTAGTTTGTTATATAAAGTTCTGTTTAATGCAAGTGCACAAAATGTGTTTGATCCTCTAAAATGTGGTGTTTAGCACTGAATACAGATTTCAGGTGTAGTCACTGGCTAAAGCAGAAGTCTGTTGGATGCTGAGGACAAAGCTTCCAAAATTAAAAATTAATGAACTCATGTTTTAAGGCAGAGTTCAACACACAAATGATGTGTCTATGTGGGATGAGAGATTATAATTGTGGCATTTAACTAGGACAGTGATGTGGGACGACAACAACAATCAATACTAGTGCATGCATAGTGTAATAAAGCATGTATTTTCAATATACACATTTAGATAGACTAAGTTGTGTCTCAAACACTCTAGTAACTACTGGGGATTCCCTGGTAATAGCTGAACTCTCTATCAAAAAAGATCCTTGGTTGTTTGTGATTCCTTCCAATTCAAATCCTGGTTTTACCAAGAAACTCATCTGTGTGGGCCAGAAAGGAGCTGTTGCATGGTTTAGCTGTGTCCCCATATGAATGGAGTGAGCTTTGGAAATTATCAAAGTACACCTCAGCTTCTCAGCCTTACTGCCACAAAATGTAGCTACAGTTCAAGTATGTATACTGAAAAAGCAAGTTTTACACTGAAGAAAAGCTACCTTTGGTAACTGAGATCCCATGAAGGGGTCAAGGGTCCCAGTAGGAAAAAAACATGGGCTCTCTTGCAAAGAGCAAGGAGTATAAGACAACTTAGATCTTGGATGATAGGAAGATGTTTGTATAGAAGGGAATATTTCCTCCACATGTAGCAGTAAAGGGAGTACTATACACAGCCCTTGTATGCACCCCTGTTAAATTACATTAAACAATTTCAAAACATGGACAAAGAACCATAGAATTAATTTCAGATACCAGAAATTACTGAGATTTATGAAAAGGAACAAGGAAGATGTAAGTTCAAGGTATTTAGTTGAGATGAGTGAGTCACTCTATATATGTGTTGATAATGCAGAAACCACCCTAATTCCCAGGTATCTTCATTGGTCAGAAAGAAAAACAAAGGTGTGATATTGTTGTTACATTAGATGGTTTGGATTGTTTGCTATAGTTGTTTCCAACTGGTAATAAATGCAAGGCTAAACTATGATATTAGACCATGGTAACAGGTGTCAAAGTGAACTTAGTTGAAGTAAGATACAAAACATACTTTGATGCATTAATTGTTCTGGAGCAGAACTAATGAGAAACTAAAAATAAAAACAAGATAATATCAGTGGTAAAAGGCATACTTAAGGGTACATCATCTTAAGACCCCGAAAATGTTGGATGTTGTACCACTTTGGGGGAGATGCATTAAGCTAAAGCTGTTGGTCAGATCTGATAATCAATAGCTTTAGAAGGCTTGAACTATTTAACCCATCAAGAAGACAGAACATCAGTATTTTTTACTTATATCATTGTACATGATATAAAGTACAATCATTTCACTTGATGGATGAATAAACTGAAACTAGGAATCATGCAAAATAAAAGAAGAGCAGTTAATCACTGAAACTAACAATAACACAGTAAATTCCCCAACTTTTCAGATCTGGACCCTTTCTAGAAGACACACATGCATAAAATGGATGCTATTTTGCTCTGAGTAGGGATAAACAATTGTAATATTACAGGTTTGCACTACATACTCAATAAGACTCAATATTCAGGACATACTATTACTATAGATTTGGTTATTAAGGTTTTTATTTCTACTTTATTGCTGTAATGAAAGCAGCCTGGTTCATATTATTGCAAAGGAAAAAGACTGAGCAAAGAAGCCTTGAGAGATTAACAATGTCGAGAGAGAGCCTTAATGAATCAGGACATTGCTTAAAATAACTTTATATTAAGTGAAATAACAGATTAAGGGAAATGTAAATATATATGAATGTATGAAGGTAATAATGGTACTACATTTTAAGCCTTGCTTTCCTAAGATAATAATATATAAGCAGTTTAACATTTTTCACAGTAAATAGTCAAGTCTTCATTTTATATTCATGAGTAAAGGTAAATCTAAATTATTCAAGACAACACCTTAAATAAAAAGCTACTTTCATAGAACAGATAAACATTACAAGTTATGTTCAAGCAGAACGACTTCCTTAAGTGTAAATTCTTCAAATCCCAGGCAATATAAAAATAAAAAGAAAGTAAAGGAAAATGGCTACTGTTCACTACTGCTTTAACAAGAATATTTAATACTTTGTCATTTATGTTGAGTCATCTTAGATAATTAAGCACTTAGATGTTAGACATTAGTTAAAATCTTCCAGACAATAAATTCCTCTATCACCAATCTATAATGCATTCTTGTTTCTTGAGGGTGAGTTGTTCCATTTTACAAGATGTAATACCTACTCACTCCTCTTTGCTAACATCTATTAGACCAGTTGAAGTCAGATGATTTGAAGTCCAGTTTGCAGCATATTTGTTCCAAAGCTTTTTACAACTGGACAGCCTTTGGCCCCATTCCAAAACATCCTAGCATACTGTAACATCTTCTATGTGAGTTTCCCACAGAGCAAAATTCGGACCATTAAGATTTCAGAGTTCCTTAGCAAGTTGCTAAGGATAAAAAGGGATGTGGATAAAAGACAAAAGAACTCTGGTGTCTCAGGAGTGCAAATATATACCAATATTAATTTCTCTGTAGGAAAAGCAGCATATATCCCAACATCCGGAGACCAAGTGAGATATAAAGGGACTTCCCAAATCTTGTTCGGCTGACTTTTAAATAACTTTTTAGATAAAACTGACATGTATTTTGAAAACACCTGGAAGTGTCACTTTCTTCCTGAACAACTGTTATTCCTGAACAGCTAACTCATTACTGTGGCTATTAGTTTAGGCCATAAAATGAGAGAAAACTTTTAAAAGAAAGAAATCACGGAGGCCTGGCCCAGTTATCAGGCTATTTAAGATTTCTAGCACTTTCAGAAAAAAAAAAAACACTGCCTGGAAAAGATTACATGCATTCTATTCTTTGTTAAGTTTGTTACATGATGTTTTGTAACTCTGCTACTCCAAGACATTTTCTTAGTTCTGCAGCCTTCTTCTCCAACTGCTGAATGTTCCAGTGCCATTGTCTTTTATTTGATTGGACTTTGTTCAGTTGGCAATGCAAACGTTTTAATATAGCATCATATCTCTTATTCTGTACCTAAAAAGAAAAAAAAAAACCTTCATAAAATCATTCCAGTAAAACTATTTACAGAGGTGAGTTCAGCTCAGGAATGGGTCTGGACAGACACATCCTTTTTGGAGGGTTCCATATGATTACATACACTTGTACTAACTACAGTCTTGAATTGCATGCAAACCACTTCTAGCAGAAATCCCAAAGCCTACCAACCAACAGAAACACTGCAAACAGCACACAGTAAATCTTACTACCAAGAAAACCTGTAACCCTGCCTGCTTGTCCTGCCTGCATGAACTGCCTCACAAAGTGCCGTGCCACGCCTCTGTTTGCCGCTCACGCCAGAGGCCCCTTTTAATTCAGCCCCCGCTCCAGTCCTGCGTGGCCCTCAAGCATTCATCTGACCCATTTCAGATATCTTGTTTAGGACATGAATCATGCCTCACTTTCCCATTCAGGAAAGAAAAGCTCTGTCCTACTAAGACCTTAAGTGTGGAGGTCAGTGTGGATATCTGCTCTGCAGATGTTTAAAATTTACCAAAGTTAATACCACCCAAGGACAGCATGTCACATCTCTGGCAAGGCTTTCCATGTGGAAGATTAGAGGCTCCAAAATGAGAGGTGAGAAAGAAGAAATTTTCATTCTTTGACAAGCATGTTTGGGTATAAATGGGAATGTAAATGAGGTAACCTTGCTGACTGCAGTAGCACCTTTGTAGCTGCACTGCATTTAAAATGACACATTTTTCTTAGGCAATACTGCGGCAATGCAGGACTGTCAATTCTGCCCTCATTGCTGCTTTATGTGGAGAAGTAAATTTGCATTCTGAAGTGTTAAAAGAACGAAACACTCACTGCAATAAAAATGGAAATAATGAGCGTTCCCTTAATGAAATTTGGGCTTACTTACCCTAGTTTAAATGGCATATGAGCGGTAGTGTATAATTACTCTTGTGTCTACTTATTGAAGATTCATTACATTGTATTTCACATGCACATGATGATGTACAGCTGCATCAGAACTCACAGCACTGTTGGCGACTTCCTGCAAATCTCACTGCCTAAATTTCGCAAATAACTAGGAAACTGCCTCACTGATGTCCTATAAACTGCCTTATTTTATTGGTGATGGCTTGCTACCTCATGTTACCTCATTGCCTCCATGTTACCTCACTCACCACTATAATTGTTCGCAACTTTTTGAGGGATGCTGTCAGATTCACTCATCTGAACGAGTGCTTGGGGCATCTGCATCACTAGGACTGCATTGTACAACACTGAAACATCTATGATCAATATTATCTGCTTTTTTTAGAAATGCCTCTCTAGCATCATTACTGGGAACAGTCTGGCATATCTGCTGAGGGAGAGAGCACTAATATGATTACTGGAGACAGGGAAGGGACAACATTGTGCTTTCTATTGGATCTTGTGTACATGAAAGTCAAACATTAGAAAAAAATTGTCTGGGAACTCAGGGTATCTCCACCACTAGGGTAGTTTAAGGACAGGATAGGCAAGTATCTGCCAAGAGTAATACAGTCACACACTGGCATTGGGGAAAGAGGGCAGCAGGGGAATAGACAGTCTTTTGGGTAGGGATTTTTTAAATTACTTTTTCATAACAACAAATTTTCAATTATTTGTGGATATCTTGAATTATCCTTATGACTGAAGCCTTGACCCTGCACAGATAACCACCCTGATTTATTGCTGACAACCCTGTCCAATGCTGGGAACAGGATCTGCTTTTCAAGAAATGGGGGATGGGACTAGTGCTCAGGAAAGCGAATAAGAAAATGTTCACAGGCTGCTTTAAGAGTCACAGAATATGCTGAGTTGGAAGGGACCATCAAGACCATTAAGTCCAACTCCTGGCCTCACACAGGACATTCCCAAGTGTCGCACATGTGTCTGAGAGCATTGTCCAAATGATTCCTGAACTCTGTGAAAGCTTGGTGCTGTGACCACTTCCCTAGGGAGGCTGTTCCAGTGTCCAACCACTCTCTGGGTGAAGAACCTTTTCCTAATGTCCAACCTGAACCTCCCTTGACACAGCTTCAGGCCAGTCCCTCAGACACTGTCACTGTCATCACAGAGCAGAGATGCTTCTTTCCCCCTCACAAGCAAGTTCTAACTGCAATGAGGTCTCTGCTCATTTCCTCTCCACCAGGCTGAACAAGACCAAGTGACCTCAGATGCTCCTCCTATGGCTTCTTCTCCAGGCCCACCTTAGCTGCCCTCCTTTGGATGCTCCAAACAATTACATCAAGTGCCACCAGTCTGTAGCTGAATTCCACCACTGCGCCTCAATAAAACCTCTTCCGTGTGCCTAGTATCTCACTTTATTCCTGTGCTTGACTTGAGTATTCTTTCCCAAGTTGTGCTGAGGACTGCTGGGTATAAATGTCTATCCACTGTCAGTTCTTATATTAAAAACTGGACTGTTTTCAGAAGAGTTCTTAATAGAAAATAATACCCTGAAAGGCTTTGGGTTTGAACCTGCTTCCTTCTGAGACAGAAAGAACATATAATGCAAACAACTGAAGAACAAAAGTGAAGATTAACCTTCTCTATTTAATTAAATTGATTTTGATAAGAGAACTTTATTTTTAGGCTACCTAATTTAACTTTGGATTTAGAGAATTTTCTTAAGAGGATGTTGCCTTGGTAATAAAAAATTTTCTCAAATGCTGACTAGCATATCTATTCTAAAGCAGTTGTGTTTTACTTTTCAGGTTAAAAATTCTCTCTGTTCACTGTCACATGAAAAAAATGATTCTTTCTTCCTCCTACATTTTACAAAGGGCAATAGACCTAACCTTAAATCACTTAATCTTTATATAATTAAGCTTTGCTCATTAAATTTTGTGGCATTTATTTAAACTGACAAGATAAATGGTAAGAAACTTCCAAATTAAAAATTTTCTAAGGGTATTTTAGTAAGGAACAAAATGAAAAATATAGTTCAATTATTTAAAAGACAAGCTTTCAACTATTGATCAGAATTTTATCTTATCAGCTAATTAGGAGATGTTGTGTTATTCCTAATTTAATGTCAGCTTAAATTAGGGAGATTCATAGGAAGTCCACTTTGCTGGTGCATTTTAGTCTCTCACTGATGAGTTATCAAGTCATGAAAAATCAAGCCAGCAGTGAAATGTAAAGTATTTCAGAAATATCACACAAATTTTAAAATGTGCATTTGCTTTACTACTATTCAGTGACCTCTTCTTTTCCAGGAATCCAAAAGTTCACGTATGAAGTCCTTCTGAAAAGACTTCAGAAAAAAGTGTTCTTCACAATTAAGTTCTGAATTTTAGAAAGACTATCAGAATTTAAGACAGCATCATTACTACATATACTTTAACAATGTATAGCCAGCACTGCTGTATAAAGTACTTCAAACTTCATTTGCATTATCTACATTCCATCAGGAGAACTGCAATTAAATTTTATCCCAATGACTCACCTCAATTTCCTTTCTAAGCTTAGCATGCTTTTTTTTCTCTTCTTCCAGCAGATCTCTTTTTTTATTGATCAAATCTTTCAATGTTGTGACTTCACTTTTTAAATGTGTGATTTCTTCCTGCAGATGTAAGTCAAGATACAGAAATTCACTCCCTGAAATGTTGCACAGTTCATCTAATATACTTATTAAAATTGTCTCATCTAAACAGTCTCAGTTAATGGAGATGGGATAAAGGTCTATAATAAACAGTTTCACAATAAACCTATTAATACTAATTAAAATTATAATAATTTAGGATGGGCAATTAAAAATTATCTATTAAATATTTTATCACATGGTTCTACACCTGTAAGAATGTATACTCTTGATCTGAAATATAAGAACTAAAACAATACAGGATTTTGAGCTCAATTTGCTGGTCTTTATTTAAAGTGAAGTTAACTGCAAAACGGAAGACTAGTGTAATATTTTAGATATATTTTTCTTTCTCATAGGGAAATACAATATTAATTAGTCTTTATTTTTCAGTATTGAAAGATCTGTTGTACAAACAAATTTTCATCAACTTACATTAACAGAATACTATCAAATTTTCAATAATGCAAGTTACATCAAATTTAACTCAGTGATCCCCTTTCAACTTCATACTTGTGTTTGTCCATATATTGGCAAAATTCCATGGTGAAAAATTCCTGTGTAGTTGTTATTAGTAAAAATTGTAATTGGATCAAGTAAAACCAAGAGTGTTAGATTAGAATACCAAACATATTTTTTCTCCCTTCTTATTTCTATTACCATCTCATCAAATCTACCTCCTGTTGGCAAACAGCTCAAATTTATTTTGTTGACAGTAAAGTGTAAAGACTATTGTGTTCTTACCTGAAACATATAACAATATGGCAATCTTCCACGGAATTCTGAAAAGTGTCCATATAATTTTATCCAATGATAAAGCTTAACTTACAGTTGTGTAATATTTTCATATTTGAGTTCATTCGAACACACATAAAAGTATAAACATTTTTTTAACAATATTACACAGCTAACAATACCGATATTTTTAACTGGATATTGAAGTAAAAGTTTTTCCAATTAATGTAGCATTATGAATTATCTATATTCCCTTGTACTCAGTCCCTCATGAACCATAAACATTAGACAAAAGAATTATATTACATGAACAATATAAAAATTATTTCACATAAAAGGAAAGAATCAAAAAGGAAATATCATACCTGCACTTGTTTTATAACAGATCCTTCTGGATTCTGCAGATCACATATTAACTCCTCTTTCTTTGCCTTTAATTCTTCCACAACCGCTTTCTTTTCAGCAAGTTCAATCATAATTGGCAATTTACTTTCCATCTCCCAAAAGAGATGTTTATGATCCTTTATTTTTTCCCGATATTCATTATTTCGTGCAAGTTTCATCTCAAACTCCTCTTGTATTGTTTCTGCATCACACCTCAATTTTAAATTTTCAGAATACAGGGCTCTGACTTGGGCCTCCAGATTTTCACAGCGATATTTTGTCACTTCTATGGCATCATCTTGCAGGTGTATCTCCCTTTCTGTTGTCTTTGTTTCTAACAGAACAGAATTAATTTCTTTTTCTAGTTCCTGGCACTTTGCCTGTAAAATATTTCAGTGTTCATTTAAGAATTTTTTTTGTAGAAAGATATTAAGTGTCTAGTTAAACACTGTAATTTATATTTATTCAACAGCCTTTCTTTCACTTGTCTAATGTGGTTTGAATGGAAGATAATTAGACATACTTCTTAATATCATCGTCTTAGAGGCACAATGTAAGAATACTATCTTAATCTTCTCCCCTTAGATTGAGTCTAAAATATTAAATAAGATACCTTTGAACTCACTTTTAAATACCTCACAGTTGCAAGATAGATGCCAAAAATCCCTTGAAAACCTATACAGACACATAGAGAGGTGTGTCTGAGAGGTGATGGAGCTTAACTAGACTGCTCAACTGAAGTTTTTAGTCCTGACTTCACCACAGTAGTAGCTGGGAGTTGAATTAATCACAGCTATTTTCAACTCCATAAGAAATATCTATCTAGTCCTAAAAAGGCATCTACATCATCTCACTGAGGAGAAGTGAACAAAACCAGGAAGCAGTACTTCAAACCATCATAAAAAATTACAGAATCATCAAGGCTGGAAAGGACTTGTCATTCCCTAGGGGTTTAAAGTTCTCTCGGTCTGTTTTAAAACAGATACATGTTTTTAAATTGTAAGATCACAAATTATTGTTGCAGCATCATCAGGCTATATTTTGGGATACAGGACAAAGCTTCTTGTAAAGTGTGGCAAGTCCACTGGCATTCCTAAAAATACAAGATTTCACTGTTACTTCAGAAATTTTATTTTTGTGCAAAATTTCAAATATCAATTATTTCAGTTGTAGACCTATGCACACATGTTATAATTGGAACAGTACTATTTCCATTTGTGCTCTTCCATCCTCTAATAATGTCAATTGGAATCATCTTTTCTCAGACTTAAAAGTAAGTTTCTCAATAGAAACTTGATCTTGAAGGTTAAACAGTAATTGAAACCTTAATAAAAGACAAAAAAAATGATCACAGAGTCTTCACAAAAACTACACATGCTCAGTGCTCTACAAAATAGTACCAAGTAATACCAGTGTTTAATGGCTACTTAGGATACACACTTCAAACATAAGGGGGAAAAAAAGTATTTTGTGTCAAAAAAGATGCTAAGAAAAAAAAATTATACAGTGTGGTGAAAATCTGAAAAAAAAAAAAATTTAAAATCCTTCCCCCACAATTTCTTAGGAAATTATTATTTTTTTTTAAAAAAATCGAAAAGCTTTGACTCTGCATTTAGTTGTTGTGGGTTCACTTTGAGGGTTCAGCCTAGTATTTTTGTTTTGTTTTTTTCAAGTAACAAACCAACGTTTCACCTGCTGTAATGAATACTTAGCTGTGTTGTGGCCTTACAAACAAAAGTACACACCCGCAGTTTTGGCTGAGCCTGAATGCCACACACAGGAACAGAAGAGCTGTCTTACACTTGAATGCACTCATCCATTAAGTACCACCAGCTTCTCTTGTTCAAGGAAATACTTCTTCATCAAATGAAAATTAATTGATTTAACTACTCTAAACAAGGCTTATTACCTGCAATTGGAAAAGAACTGCTTTGCTTTTTTCTATGTCTGAAGCCTGTGACTGCTGTTGCTCTGCAACTCGTTTTACAACTTCAGCTAGGGATGGGGAATTTTCCTTGGCCATTTCAGGCAGAAGTGAACAACTGGAGGGATAGAAAAGAAGTGAATTGTTTTATCTTCTTTCAATTTAGTTCTTGTAGACAAAACAATATTGAGGGCTGTCCCGTGGGATCGCAGGTCGTGCCGTTAAATTCATTTGGTTCATTTTTAATTAGCAAGAACAGGTTACTCGAAGCTAATCACTGAGAATTAGAACACTTTCTTGCAAAATCTCATAAAATAAACCTGCGATGTGATCCTACGATGTTCTTCCTGCTTCTCTGCAGAGCAGACCGTCAGTTTGTGAGCACAGTCCTAACTTTTTAAAGTACCCTTGGAGAATCTTAAGTGCCCGAGGCCGCGCTCCCGCGTTCTCCCGAGTCCCGGCCGCCACACGGCACCCGCAGCGCTCTCCGGGCCGCCGCCCCGCAGGCCGCCGCTCCCGCCACCGCCCGGGCCTCCGGCAGCCCAGGGGCACGGGGAGCCGGGAGAGGGGCTGATCCATCCCTCCGGCAGAGGGGCTGATCCCGCCGGGAGAGGGGCCAGTCCCTGCGGGAGCCGGAGGGAACGCGGCGGGAGGGATCCCTTAGGGAACGCGTGGCGGTCTCACCACCCGCGGCGGTGGCGCCGCCCGGCTTGGCGGTGCCTGACGGCGTCCGGCTCCGCGCCCTTTGCTCCCCGAGTTACCCTGTTCATTGTATTAAACTGCACTTGCTGCCGTCATTTGTTCTGCAGAGAACATCCAGTTTTCCCAAGCACCACTGGTTTACGAAGGACAAGAGATGTGGCCCAGTTTCTTCTGGCCTATGCCATGCCCTGCTCTGTAGTCACTGACTTGTCTCTGCCCCGCTTGTACTCCTCTAAGCAATTGCAGGGAAATTGAACCCCAAATCGCATTATTTTTATAATTCGATTTTTAAATTTACCTATTTTGTATTTTTTATATTTTTATAACATATTTAACTTAAAATTACAAATATTATATGTCATGTTAAGCAACTTAATTATATGTATTATACATATTAAGCAACTTACATATATAAATAAATATAAAACATACTTATACACTATACTTATACTTACTTATATATTTGTAACAACTATTTTTTAAACTAATAGCTCATCCCTGCATATGACCCATTTATTTAATCCCTTTTCTGAAGTGCCATAAGCTAAATATAATATTTCATTCGTCATTTTTCAATATTGTTTTGTACCCTGAATATTTTCTGACCTTTTCCTTCTCAGCATTTTGCACCAAAAATAACACCAGTAATTAGTTTTACTTCCTTAGCCCGGCTGAAGGAAAGAAAATGATTGTATTGGTTTCTCTCCACCAAGCAGCTCCTCTGTTAATTTTTTAATGACCTCGCTCAGTCACAAATGTGAAGGCAGTGGGGTGGAAAGCCTCAGAAATGACCGACTTTTGCGAATTTCAGGAAAAGAGATGTCTGGGTAATGAGGGACAAGATTGCGTCATCAGTCCCGTTCAGGAAGGAGAACCAGGATTCAGCTCTATCCCTCTGTCCAGCACATGCTGAACAGAATAGCAGGAGGGGAAATCGCAGAGCACTCACCGTGTGTGGTTTGGACCTGGCAGAAATGTAGGTTTATTGTGGTTGCAGGGAAAGGGGAAACAGGAGACAGCATTTTATACGGGAAATCAGACTTTATTAATTCCTCTGTCCCTTAAAAATGACTGTCCTTTTTTTCTTGCCCCTTTCTTCCGTTGTCATGTACTTTACAGTCGTGACTATGATTTTAACGCAGCTGAGGAAGTGTATTTACTATCTTTTGATTCTTGCACAAAGCCTGATCTCAATCCCTCATTTCCTTGCTAGCCTTTTAACCTTCGCATTATCCTGTCAAAGGATTAAGACTTCTTCACTTAGCTGTGTGAAATTCCCAACTTCTGCAAGGAGAAATTGCCATCCTCACTGGGGACCTGTGGCCCCAAAAGCAGGCATTGTGTAATCTCTCTCTGTAGATCCAGATTACACTCCTTCGTGGCTGGCTGCCAAATTCTTCAGTGAAACACGCAGCTACAGCTCAGAAAAGGAAACTGCTTCGCTCTGCACAAGTTTTCCTTTACCTTCTTTGTGGGGTTGTGGTGTTTGGCTGCGCCGTGCGTTTGTGAGCTGGTTTGTGGTTGTGCAAAGCCGGTGCAGCAGAAGGAGGTGTGATCACAGCAGGGTTAGTGCTGCTTCCGCCTTCAGCGCTCCCCGGGCACTTGTTCGTCGTGCTGGTGCCTTGCAGTACAGTTTGTTCTTTCCGGTGTAGCCAGCAGCAAAGCACGGTCCAGTCAAAAAGAAGAAATACAGGTTCCTTTACGTAGTATAGGAATTTCCAGCTTGTGCAAATCAGCTCCGAGATTGAAAGAAGTGCGATATATAAAGCTGGAAATGTCTGTGTATTTTGTCAGATGTACCTTTCAGAAAGCAATAGGATTGTCCACCTGTGTAAGTAAACTCCTGTGTTTATGAAAACTGTGTGTGCTTCAGTATTTTCATTGTATGTGGTGATTTCTGCTTCTTCAACCTTGCCTAAAATAAACTAGGTTAAAAGAAGCAGAATGTTTTATTTGAATCCAGTTTAAGAAGCTTAAATGTATTTCTTTTCCCCCTCTAGTTTTTGAATTTTCTTTTTTATGTTTGCTCTTGTTGAAATTTTACACACGTGCTATTATCTCTGTTCATTTGGGCTGCTTCAATGACCTGTTTTCTTTCTCAGGGCATCTCTCTCTGGCAGATAATAAATATCTCCTGCTATTTTAATTTTCAAAAAATTATGTCTGTTCTCTCAGTTTCTCTTCTAATATAAAATGACCAGCAGGATTCAAAGATGCAGGAAATTGTTAGCAATCTTTTCTTGGCCAGCAGTGCACTTTTAGAATTAGATTTCTGGGGTTCTTGAAAATTGCTTTTTTGCATCTCTCTTCCACCCTGGACTGTCTGTTCTCTGCAGCTTGGTTTTATTTCCTTAATTTTTCTTTTTTTGTATTCATTTTGCTTTTCTGCTTTTCTCCTCTTGTTACCTTCCTCACCTCTCACATTGTTATTTATCATTTTCTTTGACCTACTTTTTTGATATCTGTGCAAGAAATTCTCATAACCTCAAAACGTTTGTACTGTCAGTTTCAGGAAGTGCGAAAACAGCTAATGGGTGGCCTTGGCTTCAAGTTTGTGCAAGTGTTTGTTGTGAATTGCGTACCAAAACTATCAACTCCTTAATAAATGTACTTATTATTTTGGATGTGGCTTCAATGGAACACTGGGACTGTAGATCATGTTAATTTAAACCTGAATAACCATAAATACATCTCCCATAAGCTAAAACGTTGCTGTGCTTGGCAAGCAGGTATTTTGAGAAGGGTGGTTTTTTGGAGTGACTTAGAAAAGAATCAGTTTTGCTGTGATTGTAAGCAAATTTATTCTGACACCACTGTCCTCACTAGGACTCTGTGATGCAAAGCTGGAAGGATATGAGGATGAATCAGCCCCATTGTTCCTATGTGTACATCCCAATAATTGCCCCTAAGGAGTCTTTGCAATGCATACACAACTTAATAACAATGTATGCAATCAAACACTTTCCTTCCACCTTTTCTTTGGTGGTATTTTTCTGGGCAAGTAAAAGAACAGCAATGAGCTCTATTTACCTTCCACTACTGACATATCTGAAGTGGAGCAATTATCTCATTTTGCACTACACCCCTCTGTTGTGCTGTCTTTCCTGGGACTGTTTGCTGTACTGTGGCTGGGATGGTGTCACACTCAGACAGGCCTCCCACAGAGAGTGCCAGGGTAGGGAAGGAAATACTCTGATTTCCCAAGTCATGGTCTTTGGCACGAGTCTGTTTCAGCACTGTTTTCTTAGCAAGCTCTTTGCTCTAAAATCCATTATCAGCTGTGTGTAAATAATACTCTGAGCAAAATCAGGAGTCATAAATTCCTTGGCAGTTGCTTTTATTTGCTGTCACTTTTTGATATTTTCAGCTCACCTGTTTTGATAGTCACCCATTAATCTTTGTAAGTGTTCAATTCGCAGAAAGGAAAACATCATTTTCAGTCAGGATTATTTTTCTTCCAGTCTGGGGGAAAGAACAATGAGGAAAATACAGAATGTTTTCTGTAAAAGCTTCTCTAAATAAGCCATCTTTTAAAACCACAAAGGTCTTTGACCTCTCATTTCAGTGAAGAAAATCTGGGAGTCCAGAGACAAACATAAAATGCCAAGGAGTACATCACATCTACCATAACAATAGGCCTCAAGTACACATGGAAGTAGTATTTTTGCAGGATAATGAAGTGATGTAAAGCCAGAACGTTAATGTGGTTACAGGAGAATGAGGTCTTGGGGCAGGAAAATTGTGCCGGGCATTATTTAGTGTGGTAGCAGAGCACTGATTTCAAAGACTTAAAAAGATTCTCAAGTACTTTGTTCCTGCAAAGATATGAATTATCCTACAAGTAAATAGTCATGCACAATTTGTTGCTGTACAAAAAAAAAAAAAAAAAAAAAAAAGATGGTGTGAGAAAATACTCTGAATTATTATAGGGTCTTAAAACTGTTGGTAAAGGTGCATATATTTCTCATAGATCAAGCATAGTGCTTAGTCATGAAATCTAAGTAGGGGTCTTTGAGGTTCCCAAAGCAGAGGGATCTAGCCTTTTGTTCCAAACCTCTGCATGCCTGCACTGAAAACAGAAAGATTATCAGAGAGAGAAAAGAAAGTAAGATGCTTCTGAGAGAATATGTAAATTAGAGAGGAAAAGATGGATTGACATGTTTCCATAGGTAGGCCTAGCTGGGCTTGGATCAACAAAGTTTAGAAAAGGAAAAAAAATAACCACCAAAACTGGAATTACACCATGGACCACAAAACAAAATGCGAATGACAGGATGATATTGGATAAGCTTAACACATCTTGATTTCAGCTGCAGAGTGCAGCTAGCAGAGTAAAAAAGCTGAGGTAAGAAGTTGTGCATCGTATTCTCTTGCTTTAATTTAGTTCTAAGTACTTCTTCCATTAC